AATACCCCTCGGGCCGCAGAAAAATATCCACAGAAAAGTTAAGTGACAATTTCCGAAATTATAAGAAATACAGACATTCACAACACAACGATGAATTGGAAAAAAAAAGTTTAACTATACAGTTATTCACATCAAATGTGACAAAATATGGATAGACATGGTTAAGTGTTGCTCATTGTTCCATATGCTACAAAGAATGAATAATTCCACTCTTTTTGTGACATGGATTTGGGAGGGTGAAGAAATTATTCCCAACCCAACCCAACCAACAAAAAATTGGGAGAAAAGACCAACCTATCTAGGAAAGAATGATGATTTACATGGCACAACGGGACTGCAGGGCAGAAGGGAAACCCTAGGTTGAATTTACAACATTGATGCGGAAGAATACAGAGATCTGCTGGCGCAGTTCACAGAATATGTCCAAGGGAACGAACAGACCGCATCTTGGAGTGCTCGACCAGCTTTTCAAGAATTGGGAGAGGGCCCTGTCAACTTTTCAAGAATTGGAAGGCAGACATTGCGACGAGTTCTGATGGTGGGGCCACGTTTTGAAATTCCTTAACATCCATGGAATCTGCTATCTCCTCAAGTGATATCGGCATGCTGCAAGCAAACAAACAAAACCCAAAAGCCCAGTGTTTAGCATATCCTTGAAAGTATGCCCGGCATTGTAAAAAAAACACATGTACCTTATTTCATCATCCAGTAAAAAGGCGCCCTCTGAAGCATTATGGCCCGATTCCTCTGTCATCAAAGTTCTCATCTCGTCAAGAACCTACAATCAAGAAGCAAATCAATAAGCCCCAGCCTACCCAATGTCATATAAATGGATGAGAAGTCGATTAAAAGTTTGAAACCAGGATAACAACACGAAAATGTAGAAACGCTTTTGGAGTGATATTGGATAGATTCAAAACTTTGAAGTGGCACTTCATAGCAATACAAACTTTTGAAACGGCACCTCGATAGGCTTGTATGAATGTTGCTTATATAAAGGCATACTGTGTTTTCAATCTTCTTTCAAAAAATAAGGCTTGCACGTAGATTAAGATTGCCTCCCTCTTTTGACCCCAATACTCATTTATGGTTAACGTGCATACTAATTATTCTCTCTCGTGTTTCCTAGACAATAACACCATGGCTACCATGAAAAATGGAGGGAGTCCATCCAAGCTGCATATAAGGTAGAATTTTTTGGGCTGACATATTTGACTAATTTTCACAACTTCACAAAATCACAGACTGGTATAAACCCAGGTTGTTAACTACATTTAGGTGGAGTTGGAAGAACTGCCAGAATTATAGATGTAAATTGTGTTTTAGGTATGTGCTGCTCACAGTGAAGTGCAAATTTAACCTGACGATCACACTCTCCGAGCATAGCAAAAAGCATGTGCAGGTTGTGCTCAGTTTGGTTATCTAAATTTGAGTACAGAGTGGAAATTTTAGCTGTTTGGGCTTTGGGGTGCTTTACAATGTAGGGACTGGATATGAAAAGCTGGATGAACAGAGGAACCAATGTGGAAATATTTTGTAATATGGAGTAAATAACTGCATCACATTCAGTAGACAAAGAAGACCAGCTTTCATGATTATCATTACATGACAGGATTGGACTTTCTCCACTTACTTCTTCAGATACACTCTCTGTGTTATATTTGTCATCCCAGTACTGAGTGCATATTTTGTAGAGCTGCTGGACACTTAGCACCTGCATAATAACATAGAAAATGCAATGTCTAATTATATGTTCCTGCATATGTGACATGCGCATGTCACCCCCAACACACACAGGGAGGGAAATAACTCACTGGGCAGAGATCATTGACTATCTCATCATATGAAATCCTGAACTTCTTGAATATGACCTGCATAACAACAAGAATATGTGCATTGACTATATAGCATTCATGTCAAACTCCATGCAAGACATAGAACATAAAATACAAGCATCTACTGGCATATCAGGTTTATCAATGAAAGCCAGGAAAAGAAACTAAATTCGCATCATTTTTTGCATCACCTTATCAAGCAGATACGATAACACAATATTGCCAATTTGCTGGCTAGGGTGACATACCAAAAGGGCCTAGGCAGCCCATATGTAGAATTATGAATTCGGTGTATGAACTTAAAACATTGCTCCGATAGCAATATGGATTTGAAAAATGTGTAATATTGTTAAGTTCAATATAAATATTCAACCTATAGCCTACTCCCCTGTCTCTATTTACATGGTACACCCTCGTTGTTCCTGCATGTGCTAATGGTATACTTTTGTGAGACATACCCACGTTTTGTTGGTCAAATTGATGGTCAAAGTCGAACCTTGAAATACATGTGCGCCATTTAAGTAGAGATAATGGGAGTAGTACATAAGTATGAAACATTGACACCCGCGAAAACCGATACCGGCGATATCTCTATACGCCGACGACGTCATGCTCTTCTGCCATGCCACAGAGAGCGACGTGACCGCTGTCAAGGAAATTCTTGACCTGTTCGGCAGAGCATCGGGGCTCAAGGTGAACTACAACAAGAGCTCCGCCACCGTCTTGCATGGGGACCAGACCGCCCACGAGATGATTGCCAACCTCGGATGTGCTACCGCCGCGCTCCCGGTCACCTACCTCGGCATACCCCTGACGACGCGTCGCCCTTCCGCGGGACAGTTGCAGCCTCTCGTCGACAGGGTCGCTGGGCGCCTACCCACCTGGAAAGCTTGGCTCATGAACCGGGCCGGCAGGCTGGCGCTTGTCAAGTCCGTCCTATGCGCCATCCCGGTGCACCAGCTGCTTGCGTTCGCACCCCCGAAGAAGACGCTACAGCAGCTTGCGAAGATTCAAAGAGGCTTCCTCTGGGCCGGGCGAGCCGCCGCCAACGGCGGGCACTGCCACGTGAACTGGCGTCAAGTCACTCGCCCCCTAGCTCTGGGCGGCCTTGGGGTTCGTGACCTGGAGCGAGCCGGCCTCGCGCTCAGACTGAGGTGGCTCTGGCTCTCACGCACGGACGCCGACCGCGCCTGGCAAGGCCTGGACCTCCAATTTTCCAGCAGCGAGCGCGCCCTGTTTTTTGCCTCTACCTGCATGTCCATCGGAAACGGCACGACTGCTCTGTTCTGGGAAGATCGATGGCTCAATGGGCGCTCGATTGGCGAGCTCATGCCGCTGCTATACAAATGTATTCCCACGCGCCGGCGCAAGGTCAGAACGGTGGCGGAAGGTCTCAACGGCAACTCCTGGGCCCGTGACATCCAAGGCGCCCTTGGCATTCACGAGATTGGTCAGTACCTACAACTCTGGCATCTGGCGCAGCAGGTCACACTCAGCGATGCCCCTGATCGGCTGATCTGGAAGTGGACGGCGAGCGGCACATACACGGCGCAGTCGTGCTACGAGGCCACCTTCCAGGGATCCTTACACTCATACTCCTGGAAGCTGATCTGGAAGGCGTGGGCTCCCCCTGGGGTCAAGTTTTTCCATTGGCTTGCCGACCTGGATCGCTGTTGGACTGCTGACCGGCTGGCACGCCACGGATTGCAACACCATCCGCGCTGCCTGCTATGCGACCAGGCGCCGGAAACGATGCGACACCTTATGCTCGACTGCCCCTTATCCAGGCAGGCTTGGCATGAGACCCTGGCCTGGCTGCGCATACCAGCGCCGACCCCCCACCAACATGCAACTCTCAAGGAGTGGTGGCAGCACGCCAAGGCTGGCACGCCGCACGCACAACGCAAGGCCCTGCATTCCGTAGCACTTCTTGTGCCTTGGTTGGTCTGGAAGCACAGGAACAGCTGCGTTTTCAACAACATGACGCCCTCCCTTGGCACGCTGATGGACCGGATCAAGGAGGAGGCCGGCTGCTGGGCTAGCGCCGGAGCGACGGGTCTTAGAGTAGTCCTGCCCCCTTCATGGGATGTGCACTGAGCACTGTATTTGCCCGCTGCTTGTTCGTCCTAGGACGACTGTAACCGACTCCCTATCTTTTCAATGAAATGAAACGCAAAGGTCTTTTGCGTTTTCTCGAAGAAAAAAAAGTATGAAACATTGATATATTTCCTTGTCTCCCACTCAAGAAAGCAGTGTTACACCCTAGAAAACTAACTATACTGATCACACTCGTACATTTGTACGGCAACATTTGTACGGCATCGATCAACATCTTGGACTCTAAGACCACCTATGAACTGGATTCAATCCGTAATATGTTTTACACTGACCATAATTATTGAATGTGCACATTATCTCTTGATATTATGTCCAGACTTTAGCTCTTGCAACAGCTTCACCATTTGATATGCCGTATGCACCTTGGAGCAATGCAATTCAAAGATAGGCAATGATAATACGTGGGAACTGGTCTAGTAATTAAAAGCACATGTCTAGTAACATACCAAGAAACCAACAGCTTGCCTTATGTGCCTGAGTTCATGCAATGCAGATCCTGCATACTGTTAGCATTTAACAGTTAGGTTGGAGCAGGAAAAAAATATGACCATCTTTATATTTTCGTGAGTGTTAGCAATATCATTACTGGATTATGCCAATAATGCACTTGTACTAGAATTTCAAATATATGAAGCAGTGTCATATGATTACCTCTGGTTTCACTTCTCCACACCACACCTCTAGTTGTGCCAATCCTTGTTTTACATATTCTCCATTGCTAAAAGAGCAGCACTCATGGCGCACAAGAAGACTGCAGAGCGATGCATTATCAGAACAACCAATTTATGCATTGGGAAGAAAATGGCAAAGCTAATGCAAGAATCAGCAGATAATTACCTATTGAAAAGTTGAGCATTGATAAATGAGAAAATCTGGGTAAATATCTTCCGAATAAAAATAGCAGGGACCTAAAATGTGAGAAGATATTAAGAGTACTATTCACTAGTTGCGAGGATTTTATGTATAGTAAGTAGTAAACACTTACACAATTTTCTCGCAAGATATTCAAGAGTTCATTCAAATTGTCAACTATCGCCAGCCAATAGCTACCTTGATTTGAAAATGAACGCCCCCTCAAACTTGATGACCCAAATGAACGTCCTCTTACCATACTGGCTTTTATAATTCTCGGGACCTGCAGTTCCAACATAATCCAAAAATTAACCCTAAAAGTAAAATAGTAGAACATTGCAAACATGTTTTGGCGAATGCATCAAAATAGCAAATTTTCGAATGTAATAAAGGACAGCCTAGTTAACAAATAATGGGGGCTTAGTGAAAGAAAGATGCATATCCAGAATGTGCAATAGATGAGATTAACCGGCGAAGATCACATGAGTACCTGAATAGCATGCAAGAGCAATGCAGATAATTCTTTCTTGACATTGTCACGGATCATTCCATATAAGCCTTCCACAAATGCTGCAAGTTGCTGCTTGAAAAGAAATGCAGGATACTTGGCTTCGATTTGACGCACAAGATCCATATCGACAGTAATGTTCGAAGAACGAAATACCTGACCATAAAACACCAGCATAACAGCGCAATTATCAAGTACTGACCACCATCAAATCACAGGAAGAAGTAAAACACTGGTGCCATGCCATGCTAAGAGTCAGAGCACAAAATGTCTTACTCATTTATATTGAAAATAAGATATAAGTATTAATTGGGAAAAGTGTAGCATCTCCAAGAAGCTACCAATTCCACCCCCAATACCTAAAAACTTCCCAAAAGCCTACTTTTTTTGCTCCAGCAGACTACCAATTCCACTTGCAGTAACTGTAGTTTTTAGGGTGATACACTATATTCTCACTTGCCCCCTCCATATA